TGTAATTGTTTTGGGGGACCATGGACTGCACTCATGTAAGATAGAAAACTTAATAAATGTTGTGTTTTGACTGCTCCACTGATGTGCTGTTTCTCCAGCTCTCTCCCTCCTTAGCCCTCCCTATTCCCTGAGACAAAATAATATTGAAATTGGGCCAGTTAATAACCCTACAATCACCTCTCAGTGTTCAAGTGAAAAAAAGAGGTGCATGTTTTCCACTTTAAATCAAAAGCTTGAAATGATTTTTAGCAAGGAAGGCATGTCAAAAGCCACAAGAAGGTGAAAGCCAGGCGTCTTTCACGAGTTAGCAAATTGTAAATGCAAAGAAAAAGGCCTTAAAGGAAATGAAGTTTTCTCTATAAAAGTGCAAGGTGAAGCAACAAGTTATCCAGAAGAGTTAGCTAAGATCATGGATGAAGTTGGCTACACTAAATAACATATTTTCAATGTAGGCAAAACAACCTTATATTGAAAGAAGACACCATTTAAGACTTTCATAGCTAGAGAGGGGGAATCAATGCCTGGCTTCAAAGCGTCAAAGGACACGCTGACTCTTTTGTTAGGGGCTAATGAAGCCAATGCTCATTTATCATTCCAAAAATCCCAGGACCTTTAAAAATTACACTAAATCTTCTCAGCCTGTATCCTACAAATAGAATAACAAATGTCTGTTTACAGCATGGCTTACTATTTTAAGCCAACTGTTGAGACCTACTGTTCAGAATAAAAAAGATTCCTTATAAAATATTACTGCTTATTGATGATGCACTTAGTCACCCAAGCTCCGATGGAGATGTACAAGAAAATTAATGTTGTTTTCATGACTGCTAACACAATATCGATTTGGCAACCCATGGATCAACAAGTAACTCAACTTTCAAGTTTTAAGAAATACATTTTGTAAGGCTATAGCTGCCACAGATAGTGATTCCTCTGATCGATCTCTGGGCAAAGTAAATTGGAAATCTATTGGAAAGGATTCACTGTTCTAGGTGCCATTAAAAACATCTGTGATTCATGGAAGGTCAAAATATCAATGTTAACAGGAGTATGGAAGAAGTTGATTCCAACCCCTCAGGGATGACTTTGAGTGATTCAACACTTCAGTGGAGGAAGTAACTGCGGGTGTGGTAAAAACAGCAAGAAGATTAGAAGTGGAGCTGAAGATGTGACTGAATTGCTGCAATCTCATGATAAGGCTTGAATGGATGCTCATCTTATAGATTAGCAAAGAAGTGGTTTCTTGAGATGGAATACACTCCTGGTGAAAATGCTGTGAATACTGTTGAAATGACAACAAATGATTTAGAATATTACATACACCTAGTTGATAAAGTAGTAGCTAGGTCTGAGGGGATTGACTCCAATTTTGAAAGTTCTGTGGGTAAAATGCTATCAATCAGTATTGCATGCTGCAGAGAAATCTTTTGTGAAAGGAAGAATCAATCAATATGGCAAACTTCACTGTCTTAGTTTAGGAAATTGCAAAAGCCACCCTAACCTTCAGCAATGACCTGCCCCATCAGTCAACAGCCATCAACATTGAAGCAAGACCCCCCCACCAACAAAAATATTATGACTCATGGAAGGCTCAGATGATCACTAGTATTTTTTAGCAATACAATATTTTAAATTAAGGTATGTACTTTTTTTTTTTTTTTTTTTTGAGACGGAGTCTCGCTCTGTCTCCCAGGCTGGAGTGCAGTGACCGGATCTCGGCTCACTGCAAGCTC